AAACCCTCTAGCTCAAAGATCAATATTAGCAGAATAAAAAATTTGAGGCCGAGTCGAAGGTGAAACAGTTGTTAAGTAACATCTGTCCAGAAAAGGCTCTTAAATGGTGGGATTACCATCTTCCATTTAAGATATTACATGCAACTTTAGTTGGTGAAATAGGTTCTTCAGTTTGCTAATGATGACAGATAATTGGTTCGTGACGAAAGAATATGTACGATCTTTATACATTTGGTGTTAATAAAGGAAAAATGGTATCAAATGTTAGGGAAATAGTATCACTAATCCCCCGAATTACATCATTAGATATGTCTGGAATGAAAAACAGGAAAAGATTAAGAGGAATGTTAAAGGTACATCAACAACACTAATATTAATAATAATAATAATAATAATACAATGATGATGATAAAGTACGGAAGAGTAAATAAATAAATACAAAATTTAATCAGAAGTTAGGAAGTAACAAATCTATCTGCGTAAAGTCAACAAAATTGTCTTAGGAAAATTTTTGATTTGAGTAACTCTTATTGAGATCAGTTAATCGCACAATTACGAGCAATTAAACCAATCGATTTTCTGTTTATTTAGTCTCTGTTGTTATGGAATTAGAGACAGGTGAATGTCACTCGTGACGGTCGAAATTTTGATTTATAACCTACATTTTATTATGAACAACTGTATACGTATATCCTAATTTTCTCAATAATTTTGGATATGATATGGCGTTAAGGACAAAATTAATAAAATTGCTTGGACACATTTTTGGAAAACGAGTCAGACGCACATATATATGCACCCTGCAATTAGTAGGGGAGCCAAACTCCAAAAGCCTTCATTAGCCTTGGCTCCCCTACTAAATAATGATTCAACAAGAGACGTTTAGGTAGTGGTGGATTTGATATACATGTAGGTACGACGAAACAACACTTGTTAATAATAATCTCTCATGAAATATAACTTTGATGACATAAACTTTGGAGGAAAGAAGATATTTGCCAATAGAACATTTTTCTTTATGAGTAAACAAAAGGCTTTGTTAGAAAAACGATACCTTTTCATTTAATAATCATGTCTGATGAAAATGAAAACTCGTCCTCTACCTCCTCACGCAAAATGTCATGCCATGTAAGACGAGCCATTTGTGATAGACAAACACAGTCAGGGTTATTTTCAGAGACCAGCACAAACGGTCAAGGGCGATCAAAAGGCAACTGTAGTCCGTTCACAAATAAATTTGGAATTGATAGAAACTTAAACTGTCTCTTATTGCTCCTTCACATTTTTCTACATTGAGAAATTTGAACTTGAATTTTACGTTTAATGTTAGAATCTGTCGGTACATACAATTCTTATAATATTAAATGTTTATTTGCAACTAAAGATAGTGGAATTGTGCCACAATAAGTTATATAAATCAATGCAATACTTAAATGAATAGACAATCCTCACGTCCATATTTTCCAGTAATACTGTAGGAAAATTTCACTTCCTATACATTTGTAGATCTACAGAGTGCCTTTGCTTGTTCAGTGTCTGTAGTAGCTCTTGGGTCTTGATCACAGCTATTTCTCTTTTTTCTTGGATATGAAACTTTCAGTTTTAAGCTTCATTTTCCTAAATTAAGCCATCTAATCCTTTGAGATAATTTCCAGTGCTTTATGTAAAGGCAAATGCAAGAAGCAACAGGTGTTACAAAATGCATTGCAGTTCTGCTTATTAATTACTTATTTATTTTTGGTTGTTTCTGGCGTTTGCTTTCTTCATTGTATTGATAGGGCCTTTATTCTTTTTTATGTAACATATTTTGCATTTGATGTTCCTTTATTGGTATTTGTCTCTTTTCTAATTTTATTTGGTTAATCAGAGTATAGTTAAAAGTAACTCTATTCATTGAAACTTTGCCATTGTGTTTAGTGTGCAAAAAGGGGGGGGGGGCATGCATGGCTCACTTTACATACATGTGCCATTCTTGCCCAGCTACATGTATACAAGTATTTATAAAATAAACCAGACTTTCCTTGTGGAGGTGTTATTTGATACATAATTATATAGTAATATACGTTGTTATATCTAGCTGTAATTGCTTTCAAATTATGTTTCATAATCTAGTTAACTTATGTGACTATAATCACTGTAGCTTTGCCAATTTGTCCAGCATTCTTACACTAAATTGTTATAAAGAACATTATTAAATGGTCAATTGTTGTCTTTTTAAGTTGTTTAAGTTGACTGGTAGGTTGTTTTGGATTCTTGCTTGTGTACATGTAACATATTCAATCCATCTAAAAGAAGACTGATTACATAGGCAAAGAAGGGTCTAATTTCCAAAATAAGCATTCAAAAGCCAACACAATGCCCATTTATCTATTATTATCATGTGGTGTCAGTGCAACAACAGAACTTAATAGGAATATGGTTGTTACATTAACATTTGAAGGGATAACAAATGCTCCTAGTGAATTCATATTTCACAATACATAAAGTGTAAACAACTCCTAGAAATATAATAAATACAATTTTACCACCAAACAGCAGCAATGACAATTATTCTGGAATCTGTGCTTGCCATCAGGCCATGTGGACCTTTATACATGTTGATAGTCTTACCTTTGCAAGAATCTCTTAAGAGATTTTTACTAAAAATAAACTTTTTAGAAAAAACATTGACCTAATTTGAATGTTGGAATGAATAAAATTACATGTACCATTGATATATTTGGGAAACTTCCTTTACCATAGGAAAAAAAACAAACATTTTTTTAAACCTTAACCAGTTATTATAATCTATTTAAAATACCTTAATTCAACCTAAGAGGGCACCCAGAACACGTTGATCTGCGGACTAACAGATCTTTGGATCAAAGTTGGCCGACCTACATTAAAGCAGAGCCGACTAATTCACTGANACATACAATTCTTATAATATTAAATGTTTATTTGCAACTAAAGATAGTGGAATTGTGCCACAATAAGTTATATAAATCAGTGCAATACTTAAATGAATAGACAATCCTCACGTCCATATTTTCCAGTAATACTGTAGGAAAATTTCACTTCCTATACATTTGTAGATCTACAGAGTGCCTTTGCTTGTTCAGTGTCTGTAGTAGCTCTTGGGTCTTGATCACAGCTATTTCTCTTTTTTCTTGGATATGAAACTTTCAGTTTTAAGCTTCATTTTCCTAAATTAAGCCATCTAATCCTTTGAGATAATTTCCAGTGCTTTATGTAAAGGCAAATGCAAGAAGCAACAGGTGTTACAAAATGCATTGCAGTTCTGCTTATTAATTATTTATTTATTTTTGGTTGTTTCTGGCGTTTGCTTTCTTCATTGTATTGATAGGGCCTTTATTCTTTTTTATGTAACATATTTTGCATTTGATGTTCCTTTATTGGTATTTGTCTCTTTTCTAATTTTATTTGGTTAATCAGAGTATAGTTAAAAGTAACTCTATTCATTGAAACTTTGCCATTGTGTTTAGTGTGCAAAAAGGGGGGGGGGGCATGCATGGCTCACTTTACATACATGTGCCATTCTTGCCCAGCTACATGTATACAAGTATTTATAAAATAAACCAGACTTTCCTTGTGGAGGTGTTATTTGATACATAATTATATAGTAATATACGTTGTTATATCTAGCTGTAATTGCTTTCAAATTATGTTTCATAATCTAGTTAACTTATGTGACTATAATCACTGTAGCTTTGCCAATTTGTCCAGCATTCTTACACTAAATTGTTATAAAGAACTTTATTAAATGGTCAATTGTTGTCTTTTTAAGTTGTTTAAGTTGACTGGTAGGTTGTTTTGGATTCTTGCTTGTGTACATGTAAGATATTCAATCCATCTAAAAGAAGACTGATTACATAGGCAAAGAAGGGTCTAATTTCCAAAATAAGCATTCAAAAGCCAACACAATGCCCATTTATCTATTATTATCATGTGGTGTCAGTGCAACAACAGAACTTAATAGGAATATGGTTGTTACATTAACATTTGAAGGGATAACAAATGCTCCTAGTGAATTCATATTTCACAATACATAAAGTGTAAACAACTCCTAGAAATATAATAAATACAATTTTACCACCAAACAGCAGCAATGACAATTATTCTGGAATCTGTGCTTGCCATCAGGCCATGTGGACCTTTATACATGTTGATAGTCTTACCTTTGCAAGAATCTCTTAAGAGATTTTTACTAAAAATAAACTTTTTAGAAAAAACATTGACCTAATTTGAATGTTGGAATGAATAAAATTACATGTACCATTGATATATTTGGGAAACTTCCTTTACCATAGGAAAAAAGAAAACAAAACATTTTTTTAAACCTTAACCAACAGTTACTATAATCTATTTAAAATACCTTAATTCAACCTAAGAGGGCATCCAGAACACGGACTAACGGATCTTTGGATCAAAGTTGGCCGACCTACATTAAAGAAGAGCCGACTAATTCGCTGATGGTCTCCCTGCCTCAACGCTGTGCCATCCCTGCAGGGGTCTAGCAAGTAAACCTCGGAGAGGAGATTTTAAAATCCATTGAATGGCACATGCAGATGTGGGAAGACCATCAGTAAATTAGTTGGATCCTCTTTTATGTCGGGTCGGCCATATTTAGTCCACAGATCATCTGTTCTGAATGTGCTCTCTAACTTCCTGCTTCCACTGCTTATTTGAATATTTAATAGCAGGAAATAAACAGCCACAAGTATACAACTGTATAAAAAAAAAAAGAAGTAAGACAGTAAAACTTTTGTAATTTTTATTAAAAATAAGTAATTACAAGGTCAATTGTTTTATAACTAATATTTATTATATAAGCCAACAAACACATAAACAATATTTACAACTGTTTACAACATAAAATCATATATAAAAACTTCAACCTTATTAACCAATATACATTTATTTAAAAAAAATAATAATAAAAAAAAGAGGAAAGATGTTGGACGGAAAATACATGAAGTTGTCATTTCTTATCACAGTACAGTACAGTATGTGTATTCTGGCAATCGTTTGAGGTACATGTACTTAAAGGCAGATACATCACTTTGCTGTGGAGGGAGAGGGAACAATAATGGATAAATTGCTATGAAGGTGATTGATACATCATTATCATCCTGTGCAGTGCCCACTGTCATAGATATATCATGGTCCTTCCGGTATTGTCCCCAGTCATCTCATCATTTCTCTAGGCCTATCCATCTGTGTCATCATTCACACCATTTTTATCAATAATAAGAACATGCTATCTGCCATTTCTGGCAATCGAGTTTCAGTTGATTTTCCATGACCTACTTCCATATGCTATATTTAGCATTGTCCCATTTCCATGACCTAATTATCTGACCCGGTTACTCTGAGACCACAAATGCCCTCAGCATGACCTTGTACTGGTCAGTGGCATCTCCCTTCACTGTCAGCAGGATACTGGCCTCCATGGGGCGGTTAGGCTGGAAGAACAATCCCATACTATAGACATCTACTTTATAATTGGACATTTCTCTCTTTGCTCTTAATACCATAATTACTTTTTCACCTAAACTGATCCTTTTACAGTAACTCTGTACTCTAACTGTATTGTATTTTACTTGTAAAGTCTACATAGCATATTTTTATGGAATTTAAACTCTAAATATATTATTATTTTTATCATTATTATTGTTTTTAACCAGGGGCCAATTTCTCTACAAACATTTATAACGAAAGAACAGTTTCTTCAGACGATTCAAATATGCATCTCACTCCTTGGAGAATGAATTTGAAGAACACTGAAGAAGATCCCACTGGATATTTTCATTACCTGTGAAAACCTCTTTTAATTTCCCAAAATTTGTAAAAAGTTCATATTATTTAGCATGATCTAGGATTTTGAAAAGCTGAATCATAGTTCTAAATGGCACCATTTGCCCTCCAAAACATTGAACTCCACACCAAGGGGGCAAGGGTCAGCTTCTCATCCGAGGCCTGTCATTCTTAAAAAAAAAAAAAAAAAAAGGAACCCCCCCTCCCCCCTTCAAATAATCCTGGATCGGCCCCTGCAGTGCTCTACTCACATCATGCCCAGCTGGTGGATTCCAGGTAAACTGAACTGGTCGCTTGCTGCCTGCCTCCACCTGACCCTGGAGGAGACAAAAATGCTTTCTTATTCACAGCTCAACTAACACAATGAAAAAGAAAACACAATGCTATGTGCAGTAACCACAATGAAAGTGTGAACTATGCCTGGAGTAAACATTTCATTAAGATACCTAATACAATTTTGCAAGTGTTTGCAGTTGGAAAGAAAAGTGCTAAAATGTAATGAAAACCTTAACTTGCAACTGTTGAGTACAACAAAAATATGGAATCTCTCTCTCTCTCTCTCTCTCACCCACAATATCAATTCCCTTTAAACATTTCTCAAACCTTCAGAAAGCTGGTTCTGTAGCATGCATTACACAATGCTCAATCTCACATCGACCACACTTTTCACTGCCACAGTTCCACAATAACACAATACTGAATGTCACATCTACCACACTTTTCACTGCCAGAGTTCCACAATAACACACTGTATTCTCACTTTAGGTGGATCCAGTGTGAAGCCCTTGGCCTCGATGTCCTTGGTGTTCTCAAAACTGAACTCTCCATTCTGAAATTTAAGAAGTTCATCAAAAGAGAAAATTAAGTAATAGACAATCACATTGATTAGCAAGCAAATGCACAATATACTTGGTTAATATCAGCAACGTTGAGTGCTCAGCAGTAAGCAATGATAACACTACATAAACATTGTGTGCAATATTTGATTAAAAGCCTTGGTTAATGGTTGTACATCAATCACATGCCGCACTTGGCAGAAAACAGCACTAGTCACATTACGCAAAGGTTAATACACGCTAGGCTTATTGACAATATGAATTGTTAGAAAAAAACAACAACAAAAAATGATAACATTTCCCCATACCTGTTTCCCTGGCTGCAGTTACACAAAAGTCACAACATGAAAGTTAAAACGGTCAGGTTAGTAAATGTGTTATCAACAAAAAAAAAAAACGTGCACTGACAAACAACCAACAGCAAGTGGGACTTTCTCAGTATTGTAAATAAACTTTGACACGACAGTAATTACTGAAAAAAAAAATGGTTTAAAAGTTTAATATTATTGTAGGCACTGTGGCTGTACATATGGACCTCAGAAAAATGAATTGATTATATTTAATACTGGCAAAGATACTACAAATATGTGTGTGTGTGTAATATACACCTGATAGTCTTGTTATCTCTTTTATTAATGGGTATTTAAGGGGGAGTTTCAAGTCTAAAGGTTAATCACAGTGATGTGGGAATTGGGGGATCCTAATTTTGGTGCCAGTGGGAAGAGTAATCATGCATTCTGGTCGTTGTACAGCTAATCAATCACCCTGACTTCCAAAGGCTACAAGGAAAATATCTAATTATTGGTACATACAGTGTATCTGCTATTTCCAGGATGTTGGAGTTGAGTTTCAGATAAATTCTGAAAACCAGGGTGCTCTTTAATACACCTTACTTATATTAATTTTTCCAACTAAATATAAAATTAATTAATTGGTGCAAAAGGGAAGACTATTTTATATAAAATATATATAATTTCTAATTTTGACAAGGAATACCACCAGAGAGTAAGGGAATGGTGAGCTACGTAGCCAAGTGCAGAATCAAAAGCTAATAAATCATTTTGCAGTGGTTTGTGCACATGCATACTCTAGCACTTCCTGCTCGCACACTGCCTGCACGACTCCCTGGACGTGCACTGGCACGACTGCCTGGGCGTGCACTGCCAGCACGTGCACTGCCTGCACGAGCATTGCCAGCACGCGCACTCCGGACCCTATGTGAGCGGGCACTGCTTTGCCTTCTGTCCATGCTTAGCTGTTAGTTTTAATTTCAAAACAGAAGAAAGCTGAGCAAAGTGTTATAAAATTAATTCATAAACACCTAGAATTAACTTATTAGAGGGCACAATGCATGGCGTATGCTGATTGCAAGGTTAATTAATAATTAAATGTTTTGCTGAATCTACATCCCGTTTAATAACAAATAACCACACATCACAAAACAAAAGGACCAAGACTCAACCCGAGGCATTTCCTCAGGAGAAATGGTCACAGATAAACAAGACAACACATTATGACACAACATCAAGATGACAAAAAAGTTTTGACAAAATAGACAATCTTTACATTACATATGTTGCTTATTATCATAGAAATACAATAATTAAACATTACAGCTGCTATAGTTACACCATGTAATCTTTTTATGGATTATGATTCTAGGTGAAATTACAAAAACAAAGGACACATTTTATAGGCATAGCCCTCATAGTATTCTTTCAATCACAAAAGTAATAAAAAGTTGCATACAAATGTAGCACCCCTGCGGACCCGTGTAACATGACAGAGAGGCCCCCAAAGATAATTAGTCCACTTCCCATTTATTTGTACAGGTACTAAATTTTCACCCATTTAGGTCAGGATAACTCTAACCATTGTTACTAAATGGCAGGCAGACATTCTGTTATACGGACCCTCAGCTATGTAGCGCCTGCAATACAACATTACCTTCTTCTGGCTGACCGCCATTGTCCTGACACAACCGACCAGAAGCTCCCTGGAGGCTGCAGAGAACCCCTCCTCACTGGACACACTGTTGAAGGTCAGCAACACGGGGATGGCAGAAGACTTCACCTCTGGAATGATGATAATAGTAATAGAGTAATGCTCAGGGATGCTAGTGGGGTCCGGAAAGAAAACCTGAACTTTTTTTTGGCAAAGAC